ATGCCACCAGAGTTGATGCTGATGATATAGTTGAAAAAATACTCCAGAGTCAAGACTTCAGTTTAGACTCCAGTGCAGAAGGTATGGATATAAATAAGGAAGCTTACGGACAATTTATGTACCTTACAGGCCTTAGGAAAGCCCACTCCCTTCACAGTCCCTGTTGTTTGTATTCGTAAGGACTGTGCTACATTTTCTACTTTATCATAGCTACCAGAAATTGAAAATACCCTTACATGACTCAGGGAGCTTTCCCAGATGATTACTTCAAGCCCAAAAGAGCAGGTGCAAATCTGTGACAAAAGTACTTCCTCCAAGGTACACCATGTAGGAGTTGGTTCTTCATTACCTAAAGTATTTGCATCTGAAAGTGCCAGCTGCAAAACGGGTAGATTTAAAATTACTTGGATTTAACTAGGACAACATTAAAGAAAGCTAACATATTTTAATCATTTGCCTTTTAGAAGAAGGTTTAAGATTATTTGTGGGCCCTGGTGGAAGCACTTCTTTTGGAAGCCACCATCTACCTAACAGGTATGTGGTCTGAACAGCTAATCCATAGGCAATACAAAATAAAAATGCATCTTCTACAGCAATCATTCTATATCTACATTCTTGACCTTTGTATCTTTCTATTCTGTATCATTTAAAAGCAACAAAAGACAAGATTGTCAATTTTTAAAATAGGACACACAGATTAGTTCCAAAACAGAACTGATGTGTCAGCCATAAGAATTGTAACTTTGAGTTTCTGAAGAGTCTCAGTTCCAAGGTTTTCAGATACGAGCAATGTTTCAGTATGGACACAGGAAACAGACACAGGTTTCAAATGGGAGCTCTACAGCCTTATTACATTACTCTGGCGTGGGAAGAAAATTTTAAGTGTTTTACACATCTGCCTTTACAGTATCAAACTGTTAGGTGTTCCTGATAACACGCCTCAATTTCTTCAGTTTAGTTTTCCTCACAAATCCCATTTCTATTTGTTACATTACTTGTTTCAATGGCTTGCTCATCTTTCAACTATTTGCAGCCCTAAACTCTTTTGATAATCTGCTTCAGATTATTTTATTGTTTAGAACCAGAGACCTTTTTTCCTTCTCTAAACTTTCTTCAAATACCCTGATATATGACTTGACCTGAATGTGTTAATCTTCAGATGAGAAACCATGAACACCAGGCAAGAATATGTTCTAATACTGTGCTTCTGCAGTCCAATGTAACTCAATTTTATAGCTGAAGAAATCAGAATAGCCTCAGTATTTCAGCAATTACTATGGACTTAGGTATAAAGGCAGTTGATAATATATTGAAAGGCATAAAATAATTGCATTTTATATGTGCATGTAATACTAATGGTTAAATTAATTAGCTCATCTGCAAACTGAGCACACCAATACCTGAAGAAAGGGTACAGAACACACTCCTGTAGCACACAGAGATCTGTCCTAATGCAGCTGCCAGAAGAGTCCAGGCATAATACTGTACTAAGGCAGAGCTTTCCCTGTTACTTTTTTACACAGTATTGCAATTTCCTGGGGAAAACCAGGCACTGTGGGCTGTCAGGTGGGAGGTGAGAGAGTTTTGTTTACAATTCAGAGAGAACAAAAGACTGAATACATTTTTCTTGTATCTTAATGTAAGATGACAATCACTTTCTGGGGTTTTTAGGCACATCAATCTGTTTATATATAAATGTATATAAAGAGTATTAGCTGCATATGATATAGCTGTGGGCATGGGTACCCTAAATGTGATGTTTAAGAAATTCTAGTGAAGTCCGACAGTAACTTTTTGTTCAGTAACACTGATCTTTGTTCATTTTGATTGTAGTACAAAAAAATCTCTTTAGCGCATTAAAGTGTAGGTGACTCCATGGCATGTTAATAATGACAAATATTTTCTACCCTCCACATTTAGCTGGTTAGGTATTTGCTGTTTGGTTGGTTTTGTTTTTTGGGAGGGGTGTTGGTTGGGTTGTTTAAACAATACACTTGCTGATAGGTGATTCTTGCTATTTAACTTCCATTTAAATTAACACTGAAAACTAACTTTTTTCAAACTTTCAGAGCAGGATCTGGAGCATACGAGCAGGTGGTGATAAAACGGTAAACTGGAATGTCAAATGAGGAAAACTTGGAGCTCTGGTGTTGATACTTCCAGTATTGTTTGCTCTGCTGCAAGAGCTGAGAAAGACAAAATAAACTCAATATGATCTTTTTCTGAAGAGCAGTAGAATGCCTCTTGCTCATAGAGCATCATCTTCTGTGGTATGAAGAAAATGTTTAGCTATGTGTACCTTGTGAGAGCACTTGGACTGGTTTTGTAAGCTCTGTCTGATGTTGGTGGAGTTAATTTCTGTGAAACATCTGTGGAAGCATGTCCCATTTCAATATTTTATGTAAGAGATCACTTGCAGTGATGGACTTTGTTTGTAATGTTCTTTTTAAAGAAACTTATGGAAGTTGGTCTTAAAAGAACCTGAAAAGAATAATTACTGAATTTGATCCTACATGCTGTTTTAGTTTTACAGAAGCTAATTACTCCTATCAAGTCAGTTTTTATCAGGTCAAAGTTATGGCCTCCAAAAAAAAACAGGCCAGCTCTATTTCAACATAACCAAAATCTTTTAAGAGTACTGAGCACAACTTGAACAGAAGAGGCAAATGTCATCTACATGTAAAACAAACCCCCAAAACTAAATAGATCTAAACCAGCCACTGTAAATTAAGGCTACAGGTTTAAATGCATCGAATGTGACTTTTTTTTGTTCAAGTGATGAAAAAGGTGGGATTCCACACCAAAACACTAAGGCACAATAGTGTTTTATTAAGAAAGCTGCCTTGATTGTTAAATCTGGGGTTCAGCAGCTGCTCCCACAGAAACTCACTTTGATAATTCATGAATATTGAGATTCAATGGGATGGTACTGTTTACAAACCTAGTCAGTAGTTTACTACCACTTAGTTTTTCAAATTGTTGTTTAATCCTTCACAGTCAGTGCTTTGCTTGTGTTTTGAATGTGCCTTGCGGGATTGGGGGTGTACAGGGAGACCAAACCATTTACTAAGGAATTAAAGCTTTAAAACTAGGTAAACATCTATATATACTACTATTAATATAACTTGTTAAGAGAAGCACTTTATTGTAGACATACTCTGCACACTGAAAAAGTCAGTGTGCAACAGCTTTGCTGAACACTTCTTCTTTTGCTATCTGTCCACTGTTACATTAGGTCAATGTACTGTATTTAAATTTGCACAAGCAGTGATTTGCCTGACAGGCAAGAAAGAGCTCTTTAAGTTTTCATTAAGAATATGAAAGAATCCATTTTTAAAGGGATGTGTTGGATGACAAATAGGTGTAATTAATTGTAAACTGTAAATTACGTTTTTGGTTTTTTTTAATTTAGTGGTACTGTTTATCAGATAAGGCCTGGAATAAGTAGAAATAGTGTCACCATTTTTGAAAGCTCAGAATGCTTCAAATTTTGCTCAGAGTGATGTTTGACACCTTTTCATTGATGTAAAAGTAGGCCACATTTAATAGATTAAATTAGCAAAAGCAGACTTTGTTTGCCAGAAATCCATAGCAGAATTATTAAATTTTTATTTGTATGTTAAACTAAATTTAAGCATTCAAAGCTAGAATGCTGTTATGGAAAATGATAATTTGAGCTGTTTCTCAGTTTTGGTACTTGCATACTTTTATTTCTACTGTTAATTTTAATCTCTTTAGAGTGTCTAACTAGGTAAAAGAATTAATACAAAGATTCTATTTTAGCTGCTCTTAATAGAAGTGTGGTATTATCAGTTTCTGTTCTCCACAGGAATTTTAAACAGAAACTACTCAACTGCTGGTATACAACTCTCTCTCAGAACATGATAGTCTCCTTTCCTGTTATATAACTAATACCAAAAAAATCTCATTGCAAGCAAAAGATGCCAGAAACTTGAATACATTCTTTGCTTTCAGTACTATTTGACACTGCTATATTTGGTGACAAATCCATTAAAACTAGTAGTAGTTAAATGGAAGCTTACTTACATTTACTAGGAAAACTACATGTAGTTTGAGGAAAACAGGCTTTTAAAAAATACTGTACAGCTGCTTATGTAATTCTCAAGGGAATTTCCATAGCATTTTATGTTAAACAACACATCTGATGGGCATAGATTAGATTATTTGTTTACTAGAAACAGTACTTTGTTGCCTGAGCAGATCTTTTAAATAATAGGGAATTTGACACAGAAATCCAGCTTTTCATAAAACTGTATGTTAGTAATTTGTTCTTCTGACTTGACTTAAAACTCTTCATGAAGTGATAATCTAATTGTGCATCATGCAAGTGGAACATAATCTTCACACCTAGGTGCTGTATTTTCTTTTCTGTAAACTATGTTGTATGGAATACTGGAGACTTCCCTGTTGTAAACTGTTTGGGATGTACTGGTGGATGATGTGGTTTTTTAACTGTATTTGAATAAAAATCTCTCAGACATTCAATAAACTCATGTCTTCAGCTTGGAATCCATTTCCAAAAAATTGTCGCTTTTTTTTTTTAATGTAAAAAATTACAAACTTAACTGGAAGTTTGAGTCTGTTTCAGTTTCTCTTCAATTTAAGGAGTTCTTTGTATAATGCTTTGCTTTTTTCTGCTTCTGTGTTGTCACAAAGTGACATCCATATTATCAGGAAAATGTGTCATTTAGATCCCATTCTTTTTCTAATCTAGAAGGAAAATTTTAAATTCAGAACAATGATCAGAAGTGTCCTGTTCAACTATTCTGACCATAACCAAACAATAGATACCCACATTATTTCCCTTATATTCAGGATACTGCACTCTTTTCTTGATGTTGGTGTTGGAGGGTTTTTTTTGGTGGTGTTGTGGGGTTTTGTTGTTGTTAAATTTTTTCCATCTACTCTATTTAGATTTTACAGTTTTGAACCAACAGCTGCACATGAAAACACATAAAATATTTCAGGTACTCCATAAATAGGTTAGCATTCACAATTACTGCAGTTCTTTTATTTTTTAAATTTTTTTTCAAAAACATAACAAATATGTCAGTTTCATAATTCAGCTGGAACAACATTTGGTTTTCATCAAGACTGAGTATGTACTCATCTTGAAAAAGGCATCTATAAATTATATAGAAATTAAGAAAAAACTTGCCCTAAACTTATGTCTGACTCACATTGTTCAGTACAACACAGTAGATGGTAAAACAAACTATCCTTGAAGCTAACAAGAGACTACCAGAAATAATCTAGTAATGACAGCTACAATAAAGCAGTAGAAAGAAAACAGAAATATTTAATTTTCTTCTTGGGAAGGCATTATTTCCTTTTAGCCCCTGATACTCTACTTGAAACCCCTGTGAGTTACTGTTACCTTTGTCAGAAGCACTCACACTCAATGAGAGGTGCTGAGAGATACACACCACTGATGGAAGGTTAGAAAAGATTTTGCAATCTAGTTAGCATACAGAACATACCATTTGACAGCTTCTAAAAAAAACCACTTTCATTACTTCAGCTGAATTTTGTGTGAGAAATCGGATCTAATTCTCTTCATTTTCATGTTCAATATTGAACATCACAGCAGAACCATCGCTGCTCAATGTGACCTTGCCTTCAATAAGCTTGCATAATTTCTCAAAGGTACCACAAAGTCGATTCACTTTGGGAACAGAAAATATTGTTTTGAGAGGTATGTGAACCTCATTGCCACTGACAAATGGTTCCATGTTTTTTTCAACAACCAGTTTTCCAAGATAGTCAGAAAAAGAGTCCACTGAAGCTTGGAATTTGGATTTTCTCTCAGGATCATCACTGTACTCTTCACGTTTTGACATTAAACGGTGCTTAATGATTTGGGCTGTGAAAATAACTTCATTGATCACTGCATTCTGCAAGTACTTCTCATCTTTAAGACTTGGGTACACTGCTTTGAAGACCTTTACAATGTACAAGAATACATAAAATGTTAATCGCTATCATAAGCTCAGATTTTAACATTTCCTGTCCAAAAAATCTGCTAATGTGAATGTCATTTTAAATTCAATCCTGTTTTGCTAATTAAACAGTTTCAGGTAACAAAAACTAGGTAATATGAGCTGGTTTCTTTATCACAACTACAATGGCAGTTAACTGAACTTAAACGCCCCAAAACCCAACAGGCTATACCTGCAAGCTGCACTGTAGCTCAGACAAGGTAAAGTCCTGCAATTCTTTACCTTTTTTAAATAATTCTCTTACTTCTCACATTATGGAGTTCTGGGGACAGTTCTATAGTGATGGAGATTCTAAACTACTTCTGAACTGTCATCTGGAAACAAAGATTACATTATATCATTTATTGTTTTCAGAGTAAAACATTAAATATGCTCTCACAGCTGTAAGGAATGCTAAAAATAAGTTGTGACATCAAAATCTGTGAAATTGTAGTGTGTTCTACACCGAGCTATACTCCAAGGCAATTAAGGAAACTAAAAGCAAGCAATCTCATTCCCACCAGGTTACTAGGAAGTGCTTTTTACCAACACACTATCAAGGAAGTTCCTCTGTCTATAATTATTTCTTACTTTCCAATTACATCTTGAAATGTTGAATTATTCTTATAAATTAGTTACCTGATAAAAATTAATTTGATAAGAAACACACAAAATTAACACTCTTGTTTAATCTCAAAGGATATCCATGTCAAAACTCTCTCCAAAATGACCATATAACAGGAGCTAATGAAAGAAATTTCTAGTACGTGTCCATCACCTAGATGTATTTCCAAGTCTGGTGAGCATTAAAGAGCGCTTCAGTAATCTGTTATGGGCAATAGATGACAGGCGACATTTCACATGCATAGAAATTTCCAATACAGAAATTACAAATGTTTTTTGGCTTGGAAGCCATAAAAATAAAGCCATAACACCACTTTACGTTTCAATTCAGCCCACAAGTCATTTGAAGATACTTATATATTTTTACACAAAGAACTGAAATATTAGAATATGTTCACTGAAACAAATAATTTAAGGTCTTATAAAATTGAATAAAACCCCAACAGTGTACTTATTTTTGCACTGTTACTTCATGTCAGCTCTGAAAAAAGTTTGATTTATACCACACGGCATTTAGCAAGAAATGCTGTTTTAAAATTTTTATGTACCTGAAAAATCTGGGTCATTGCCAACATCCACATAATAAATAAATTTAATGACTAGAGGAAAAATATCTGGCAGAAAGGAAAAATTTCATTCCAAGGATAACAGTATCTTAAGATAAGAATTATCATCAATATTGTTATTTAGCAAATACCCTAGACGTTTAAGGCCTTTGTACAAGTGAAAACACAAAGAATGAGACTGTCTTGCTCAGACTATCAGCAGTATTTCCTGGTAACATAGACAACTTTATTCTTTATTCATACCTCAAAAGGAAGAAAATAATACTTACTGTTTTGTAAGCTGCTTCCATGGGTTTCTCAGACTGAACAGATTCACCAGTTTGAGGATATTTTCTAACAAACACACCTATTTGGGTACAAAACCCAACCTTCTCCATTCCTGCTGGTGGGTGCCCGACACCAGTAAATTCCACTGAGTAATCATAGCATCTAGCAGTCTCTAGAGCCCTAAGAAAGACCAATTATTCCAATTATATGAAATATTCATCTTTCCATGTGATAAAGATCCATTCTTAAGGAGACTCAAGACTATAAGGCTGCAAAGGCTTGAACATAATTTCTCTAACAATACTCCCATACCTGAAGATAAGTACTGTCACCTCTTGTTGTACCAGAGCTGTAAGATGCCTACCATAGTCTGAATCGTTCAGTATCATTAGTAATTTAGCCATCCAAACATTCCTGTTTCTTCTACAATATGTGCATAGAATGTTAATGCTCACAGTTGCTTAGTCACCAACCTGAAGTCAGCTAAAAACTGATTTTCAAGAACAAGATTATTTGAGAAGAACCCATAAAAAACATACACACCTCTAAACCACAAGAGATCAGTTCATAAAGAAAGTGTTGTTTGCTGTAAGTATAGAAAGACAAAAATCTACCTAATCAAGGTTACAACAGTGTATATAACATCTAAATGAAAATTATCTTGCAGTACATCAGCCATACAACAAATGGGGCAGGGAACCAAAATCACGCTACCTACCTGCATCATCCTCCATGGAAAAGAAGAAAACTAAATTAAATATCTCATGTATTTTAGAGAATAAAGTAATATTTCTGTTTCACAACACAAAGGCTTTCTCATGTTTACAGCTCAAAAAGCTCCCACATTTCTTCAGTGTTATCAATATTTTAAATTCACATCTATCTGAAAGCAAAATCTAAATATACTTGAAGTCAGAGAAATTTTCTCTAAGGAATTCTAAGGTAGCTAATTACAGACAGGTTTTAGTATCATTATGTAGGGAAAAATACATGCTTCCAGCTTTGCAAAACTACTTACTGAAAAATCACTGGATACTTTAAAGTGTATGGGTAGAAACAACATAGTTTAAGGGGCAAAATGTCCAGGATAGATACACCAAGAGGTGGCTACTGAGGTATGGCATTCTTTACTGTATGTTATCAGAGCATTCCATTTTCTCTTTATTTTTATTACATTCCTGATATTAAGGGTAAGATAGATCTCATGTAACCCTCTGTCATGTGCATATGATTTGCATTAAATCCTTCATTGTGCCACGATCCATTAAACTATCCTTTGTTCAATGTGCCCCACTGCTGTCGTTATCTGATAAATCTGCTAGCATTCTCTTACTGAGTGCTTTCATTACAGACCACATAAAGCAAGCACATGTCTTTGATTTTAGGAAGAAGCAGGGTATTACACAAAAATATTAATTGATACCTTACATTTCAACTGTGTTAATTGTAATAAGGATATACATAGAGTAAATAAAAGTTTTAAATCTTTTTTGTAGAGCAGTAAAAGCCAATTTAACCATCATCATAAAATACAAAATTCACAGAATATGCTTACCTGCTCTCAACAACCAAATCAGGAGGTGACACTTCACTGACAGCAAATCACATAAATGAACCACTCTGAAAATGCACAGCCATTCATTTCTCACACTACTAGGCACCCAGAGCTGCATCATATGCACCCAGTATATGATGTTCAGTACTTTACCAGCTTTGAAATTGTGCTTGGCTCCACTCGAATTTGTGGTCTGGATGCCTGTATAACATCACTCTTGGAAGCAAAGAGTTAAATTCAGAATTTGGAGTGCTGATCACAACTATGCTTGGAGCCATGAAACCAAACACCACTTCAGGAAACTTCTTCAGCTCTGATTCTTCCAGGTGTTCTATTCTGAAAAGAATAAGTTGATGTTTGTGTTTAAAAACACACTACTATAATTTTAACAACTAGTCAAAAGAACCCCAAACCCGTATGTGTAACTTGTAATTTTACACCTATCTCAGTGCAATATGAGCACTGGCACTGCGGCCAAGTGGCAGCACATGGGACTTTGTCTGAGCAAATCTCCTCCTCTTGCATTTTGTACTTTTTCATCTTCCTGCCATAAGCACTTCCTGAATTACTTAGTATGGTTAATTTGAACACAAGTTAGAAGCCACTCTTCTACTTTTATAATTCTACTCTTCTGTTTGAAAGGTTAGATGAAGCCTGTTTGGAGCATGGACAAAATTCCAAACTGAACTCTAATGGACTTAAAAAACCATTTTGTATTGTCCTCATACTCACAGTTCAATACATGTCACCAAGTCAAAACCAAGCATGCAAGGATCTTTGTGGGCAACTGAACCATGATGCAAGGTAACAGTTAGGGATCTTTCAGATGGTTGCAAATAATCAACAGGAAGAGGAGACAATGTATGCCTACAAAAGTATTAAAAATATGATGTTACAGGAAGGACCTTAAGACAAGACAAACAGTGCATGAAAACCTAGCTAATATCCTGCATAGCTACCTCATAATTTTCAAGAAGATTAACTACTTCACATGGATATAAAAAAGAATATGCAATACAAACACATCTTCCAACTACCTACAATAGGACAGAAAGAGCAGAAGTTAATCCAGAAACTATCCTTCGTGTTTACAAAAATTTCCATTATACCCTCAAGTCACTTGGGAAGCCACTTGTAAATTCTGGTAATAGTTCAATTCCAGATACACAGTAAGTCTGGTTTAGACAAGCTTTGTATGGTTTTGGGGGGAGTTCTCAGCAAGCATATTACCTATTTCTTCCAAGTAAAATACACTGAGAAACCAAAGTACGTGTGCAAATTTCATTCTGGAGTACAGCATTAGACAAAACACACAATAAATATTACATATAAAAACGTTACTTCTCTTGATTCTTCAGAAAAAGCAAAAGATAACATCAGCATCAAGATCCTACATATTCACTGAAATTTTTGTGTTGATCTGCTTTCAATAAATCTACATTCATCCATTGGACCAACACTTCAAAGATCACAAACCTCTCATTTTAGAGAGGTTCTAAACCAGACACCACACACTGAGCTAACCTTCCTATATCAAAATGATAAACAAGTCCCCACCTTGGTGACTAAAAGTTCCACGTACATTTCAAAAAGATCAAAACTGATCTTTCTGAAGACAATAATGTCACATATAAGTATACATAGATATTCCTAACACCATGCATTATTGCCTTTACAAATTATATTTCTCAGATGTGCACCCCCAAAGGTCTCTGCAGACCTTTGGCTACATTAGGTGATGTTATGGCCACCTAGAGCCCAGGAGTCTCAAGGCACAGATCCAATGGAACTAGCAATGACAGAGTCCTTCATTTGCCAAGCTGCTATTTCTGTAGTTACCCTAATTTTGAAAACCTCTACAAGAAATGCTGCACCATGCTACTTATATTTGGTTTGCAATGCAAGGTGGCCAGGAGGCTATAGAAGAGGCTTCTCCATGTTGCAGCAGGCTCCTGGCAGCAGCCTCTGGAGAAAGGAGCCCAGACTGGAGCAGCTTGGCTGGCAGGACTTGTGACCCAGTGAGGCACCCATGCTGGAGCAGGCTGCTCCTGCAGGACTGCACCCTGCGGAAAGGGACCCGGGCTGGAGCAGTTCATGAAGAACTGCAGCCCATGGGAAGGACCCATGCTGGAGAAGTTCATGCAAGTCTGTCTCCTCCATGGGACAGACCACACGCTGGAGCAGAGGAAGGACTTCTATCCCTGAGGAGGAAGCAGCAGCAGAAATAACATGTAACGAACTGACTATAATCCCCATTCCTCATCTCTCTACAACACTGCAGGAGAGAAGGTAGAGAATAGGCAATAAAGTTAAACCCATGAAGGAGTAAAAGGTAGGGAGGTGTTTTCAAAATTTGCTTTAATTCTTATTATCCTACTTGATAATAAATTCAATTAATGATTGATTATAATAATAAATTCAATTTCCCCAAGTCAAGTCTGGTTTGCCCATGATGGTAACTGATGAGTGATCTCTCCCTGCCCTTCATTTCAAGAACATGTTGTTTTATTTTCTCTCTCTGTCCAGCCAAGGAGGGGGAATGATAGAGCAGCTTTTGGTGAGCTCCTGGCTCCAGCCAGGGCCAACTCACCACAGTACTAGGTCAGGACAAACACAAACCTCAAAACAATCGATGAGCTTACATTTTCTCTTTCATTACATCTGCACAGACATCTAGCCCAGCTAACACTTCAATGGAACTGCAGAATTTCAACATCCAGAGAAGGCTGCAGTCAGCACATCCTAAATCTGCCACCTGTAAATTAGGTATTAAAAAAATGTGTAAATGCTATACAGTTCTAAGTAATTTCAGAGACTTGCATAAAATTAAAATTCCATACTTATCAAAGTAACTTTGTAATGATAAAGCATTTCAAAATCATAACTAAAATTTACAGCTATAAGCAAGTAGGATAGATGCAGATTTGAAATTTCTTTTTAAAAATGTATATGAAGAGCCTGCAAGACTTTTAAAAAATAATTAACCTTTTGTTACTACAGCTATAAACAAGTACATGTAGGACATCCCACTGCCTCGGGAGAATGTCTTCCACATGAGTAACAGTAAAGTATGATTTTATGTACAAAAGCTGCAAGCAGCAATTTTCATATTCACCACTGCTTTTCACTGGGCTGTTCTTCCTCCAAAACACTGAGAACAGGCTCACCAGCAGCCAAGTTAGCAGCAAAGAATCTGCATAACACAAGTTTACAGGCTCAGTCTAATGTTTAAGTGGGGAACTCTGGGATATTCAAACCATGAAGTCAAATAATAGATATTCTTTCCTGTAAGCTAAAGAGATAGTTGAGTATGTAAACCAACTCCCACTGTTCTTTCTCAGGCTCAGTCAAGGTTGAAGCACACTGCTGTTCCCCAAGTGAGAATTCTGAGTTGTTTCTATCCAGTTTATCTACTGCCTGTGTAAACAGAAAGTTCACCCCCCCAGCCTTTCCACATCCTAAATCAGAAAATTCAAACTTTAAAGACAGATGCAACACTAGTGAATATGTTCTATGTTTGAAAGGACATTACACTGCCATGGCATCATAGACTGGATTAGAATTTCATTAACTAGCAGAAGTATGATTACATAAGTAATGCAGGTGCATCAGTTTCTTGCACGCCCCCAAAGATATTAACACCAGTTTACGGGTTAAACACTGCAGACTTGAGAAGATCTTTTTGGGAATAACATGGAGAGGACACATTAGAAGAGAGCAAATACTACAGAATGTTACTGAAACAATTTAACTTTTCACAGTGATTAGTAAAACAAAAGTTCTGGTATACTGGGGGGACATGGGTGACAGTACAGGTAGAGGGTCACAAGATCTTAAGAAAGCGGAGATGAGTTAGCCTCACATAATCCTCACACTCTCAGTTCACTTCTCATCTGAGACTGTCCATGCAAATGATGAGATAAACCTGATATGCTACACAGAATTAACAGTTCTGGAAAGCAAAACCCAACTATGAGGAAAACAATTTGAACCAAATTCCACAGCGTTTAATTAAAAACAGAATGCCCACTACATTCAAAAACAGTCTTAAGGTATTTATCTTGTTTAAATATTCTCCTCTTCCCGTCAAGTAACATTATTTTTACTCACCCTGAAAAACAGGGTATCTGCTAAGGCCATTCAGTTTAAACAGTTCCTTCACTACAATTGTTTGGCAATTAGGTCAACAGGTTATTTATGCATTTTGTCTTCCTGAGATGCCAAGTACCAACTTACTTTCAAGTTTATAACCTAAAGAGACAAAACATACCAACCTTCTTAGGTTTGTATTTCTCCACTAAATCTTTAACAAACTGGTAGCGTTGTTTGTACAAAGGAGGTTCAAATTTAATGATTTGCGTAATCTCTTCTTGAAAGTTCTTATCCATAGTATTCTGGGACCCCTAAAATAAAAAGTTAACTCTTATTTTCTGAAGCACTTCATAACATACCCAGTTACAAAGTTCGCTGTTTGAGTCCCAATTAAGCAGGTGCAGACCTGTTCTATTCAAAGAATGACAGAAACATCGGGATTAGCACGATTAGACTGTTCTCTCCACACGTAATTATGTAAATAACCTTATATAAACTACTATAAACCATTACAAATCTAAAAAAGCAAATTTCATAATCTATCACTCTCCATCCAGCACACCTGGACAGAGACCATAACCAAACACTAGAACCAAACGCATCTAGGGCAAACTTGATTACTCTACGAGGTCTTTTACACACAAATAAAAGCATGTATTTGTGTATATATATGCACAAAAGCCGACTCGGTGCTCAGGCCAGTCCCCCACCGCCTCAGGAGTTAAGCGGCCTGCTGGATCCCCTCAGCAGCGCCCGCGTGAGGGGCACCCGCGGCACCCCCCGAGCCCCGCCGGAGCCCCGAGCCCCGCCGGAGCCCCGAGCCGAGCCCCGCCGGACCCCCGAGCCCCGCCGGAGCCCCGAGCCGAGCCCCGACAGCCACTGCCTCCCGGCCCAGCCACCCCCTACCCCTCGCCGGGGCCTCCCCGCGCTTCCCGCTCCACCCTCTCTCCCACAGCGAGCTCCCGCCCGCCACAAGCGCTGGCACTACGGGCGCGGAAGCTCCGGGGAGCGCCGGGAGCTCCAACTGACCGCCCCCAGTGCGGGGGATGTTCCCTAAAGCACGTCTGTGGGAGAGGATAAATCGGCACTAAGGCCCATCCCAAGGCCCACCTGTTGTACCGATCCGTGCCAGCCTCCCTCGCTGTGATTAAAAGGTGATTGGCGGCGGCGAGCAGTGTCCCTACTGTTTTACATTGAACCCCAAAAATCTCGCCACTCGTGCAAGTTCCTTGCGGTGCTGCTGTGTCTAGAGCCGTGTTTGCTCCGCCGCAGAGGGAAAACGCGCTGCTGAGCTGTTGCCATATGCAGTGAACTAGGCCTGTCTGGGGGAGTGCGGTAGGGAGCACAAACACCCAAAATTGATGTCTTTTGCAGGGTTTCATTAAGTATTTTCCACGCTAGGGCAAATTGTCTCTCAGTGAGCAGGCAGCTGCATAGCTGCACACTGAAAGTAGAAAGGAAAGTGTGGCTCTAAATGTCCCATTTCTTCCGCAAGAGCATGTAAAGCGTTTGTTAATCACAGGGCAGGGCTGTTATTAGTAAAGATAGAGTGTAGGTCTGGGACCTAGAAGGAGGCAGCACTCTGGTGGCAGTGAGGATAAGGCTAGATAAGTCAGATCACTCAGCGCCCTTCAAGATTTCAGAATATTCTAGAAATGTATATGCTGATTTTGGGCTAACATTTTAAGTTTTGTGGCCTAGACAGAACACACAGTTACTCTTTTTGGCTGTTGAGTAATTGTTTAACCCTGAACTATCACTTAGTACTTACATCTCAACTAGATAATTCTATAAATTCTGCCCAGTGTTTTTTTTACCTCAGAGAAAGGTTTATTAATAGAAGTCTTTTACATACCAGCTTCCAATTCTATGGATTCTAGTAACTTGTGAAAGTCTAATTATAAGTCAGTATAATGGATTCTTTAGAACAAAAAAAAAACAAAAAAAAAAAAAAAAAAAAAAAAAAAAAACAAAAAAAAACCAAACCGAGAAGAAGAGTAGCACACAATGTTCTAATAGTTCATAAGAATTCACCCCGAGATGTAACACTGTAAGTAAAACTTTCAGAATTATCACCTCTTGTAATTCTTCATTATGAACAACATAATTACAGAGATATCCTTTCTGATTGCTGCAATAATGACATTGGATTGGAGATCTAATCTTTGGAAGATTGGCAACATGAAAGAGATGGTGAGCACTATTTGCAGTTTTGAGCTGGAAAATCTGCTTTGATTCCAGGAGGTCTGATCTACTTGCTGAAAAAAGTATTGAAAAATTCTTCTGATTTTTCTCCATTAAATCAAATAAAAGTTTTTTTTTATAATTCTCTCACTGAAAAAAATTTCTTTGATTTAGTCTAGTTGTGGTTAAAATTTTTGTTTTGGTTTGGTTTTCCTTTGTGCAGTCATACATCTACATAACAGTCTCAAGGCATCATAGAATAATTTATGTTGGAAGGGACCTTTAGAGGTTATGTAGTGCACCCCCACTTAAAGGAGATCCAAGTCAATGAGGTTACTTGGAAACTTCAGTTCCAAGGAAATTTTCACATCACAGTCTATAATTTCAAACTGAATACTCAAGTTGTGTTAGCTCAATATGCCACAAATCAAGCAGTTTTTTTTTTTTAGAGAAGCTTGTTACTTTTGCACCCTACATATAGCAACAAATTATATGACCATACTGGAATAAAAGCATCTTACAATATAAAGTAATGAATCAAGAAATCCTAAACTGCTCTGCAGATATTTATTTCCTTCAGAAACTGGAATGAGAAGGACAACTGTATGCAATTCCAGTACTTTCCCCATAAAGTTTCAGTGCATATAATTAAATCTCATAGCAAAAAAACTTAATGCAGCACTGCTGCCAGAAGACACTAGTCCATATTGATATTTGACAGGAATATCCATACAGCAATACTGCTTAATCTCTAATTCAAGAGCTAATAACCAGTCCTCTCAGCCTAAATTCAGAGGATGTTTAGTGAAGTACTAGTCTTTTTCTCTCCAGCTTCAATTAACAGATTTGGCCCATTTTAAAAAATTAAGAATTAATCTGTGTGAATGAGAAGTGAAGCTGCTGTTACACACAAATCACATTCTTCTTGCTCTTTTATAATTACATACAGTTTCTTGCCATTTGAAGTGAGAACCACCTTGTTTTGAGGTTCTTTGGTTTGGCTTTTGGTTTGGTTTTGTTTTTCTTTTTGGCTGTACTCTATAAAAATCAGTTGAGATGCCCGAGGGAAGAAAATCTAATTTGGAGCAAACGGATTCATAGGTTGTATCCACATGAGAGGTTTTAGCATCATCACCAAAGTGTAAAAGAAGTATAAAAACGTGATCTTATAGAGAGTAAAAAATACTGAGGTTTGGAACATATTTGGCTAAATATTCCAACAGGAAAAGGTAAATGCATAGAAACACAATTAGGGCAATAAAAACTATAACAGAAGTATTGGCTGTCTTGAAGCAGTTGCACAATAAAAATTAAGCAAGTGCTCCAAACAACAATAACAAAACCACTCACAATCAAAGAAAAGTTACTACTCTAGCTTACTACCACCAGAACAATATGACTTTCTTGGAATTAGTTTTTTGATTTGTTCTCTGATTTGATATAAGATTGTTAAATGGGTATTTACTGCATCAATATAGTAGAGCCATGCTAGTAATGAAGATTTTGTGAACGTCTTTGGAAATCAGCCAAGATGAGAAGACACCAAAAGAAGACTGGTGGTTATTTCTGGAAAAGAGAAGTGAAAAGCCTCGATAGCAGAACAGGCAGCTTAGAGAAACTGTTAGCTGCCAGGGCCCTGATAACACTTCTGCTATAGTAAAAACTCTAAGGTACTTGAAGGGCCAGGGTAATGAAAATAAACTGTTTCTCAGTGTTTCAATGTGTAATGAAGAATGAGGGTATTTTTATGGTACTTCCAACAGTATTTATCTCCTCTGTTCTAAATTAAAAATCTGGGTTAGCTTTAGTAGAGATGGTATCCCCACAGACAATTTTATACCAGCTTCTCCCTGTACCTGTTTCCTGATGCACTGAGCAATAGGGAGCCCTTCTGTGTTCAACTGAACATACTCTGGCACATTATACCGAGCTTGCAGTCATTTCACTGAACTTTCAGTTAAATTTTGCACAGTCATTTGATGTTTAGAATATTTTGGGAATTCTTCTAAATTACTCTTTCAGAAAGTCTCCTTTTTGTGCTTCAGGTTTAAAGACTGACACCAAAGTATGTAGCTGGTTCTATTTGGTTTGGTATTTTTCTGCTTTTGCAGGCAAAACCAGAGAATTTTCTCTTTCCTTTTAGTAATTGTATGTAGATAGTGATTCTCTCTTAGCTGTTTAACCTAATTCTGCTTGTTCCAAGTCTGTATGTAGGACTACGAGTTTCAGAAAGAGCTGTTGAGCTGGAATTGAGCAGCAGGGAACAGTTACTGTTTTCTGGGTGTCTGACGGGGTTCTCAGAAGCTGCTCAGCCAGGTCCTGCATATAGCAGTGGGCCTCGTACCCAGCACTGGCATCAAGTGATCAGGCTGGGCCGTGCCTTAGCATCGCCCTCCGGGGCTACAGCACACTGAACGTGCCCAGCATTTCTTCCTTTCCCCTTCCCCAGTAGGGAAGCTGTGGATGCCCCATCCCTTCAAGCCCAGGCTGGATGGGGCTTGAAGCAGCCTGGTCTAAGGGAAGGCGTCCCTGCCCATGGCAGGCGGCTGGAACCAGATGGATGGTCTCCCCTTCCCACCCAAGTCATTCTGTGACTTCTTTGCTTCTCTACTGCTGCGGAGGCAGAAGCGGCCATCGCCAGCTGTGCCGTGGCCTCATTATTAACAACAAGGGACCGAGGGGACCAGTTTTCAACTTTGTTAAATCCGGGGTTTAATTTACTCAACTCCGTGTGACGATGTCAGCAGCTGCTCCCCTTGGGGTCACAGAATCCCTCACTCTCCCCGGCGGTGCCGTCCCGCCCGCCGGTCCCCGCGCTGCCGCAAGGCGAGGGCGGGAAGCGCGGCGGGAAGCGGCCGGGCCGGCAGCGGGCGGGGCCGCGCGGAGGCTCCGCGGCTCCCCCGCCCTATCCCCGCCGCTCCCGCGGGCCGGTGACGCGGCCCCGGAAGGTGCCGCCGTCACTTCCCCGGCCGCCATCTTGTCGGGGCTGAGGCAGCGCCCGCCGGCCCCGCTCCGTGTGCGCGGCCTGCCCCGAGCGCCGACCCGCCATGGCCAACAACAGCCCCGCGGTGGCGAACTGCCAGGGGCAGCAGGTGGCCCAGCACCCGCCCGGTGCCGTCCCGCCCGTGCAGCAGCCGCTGCAGAGCGGGGGCCCCAAGCCGGCGGCCTCGGGCAAGCAGGGCAACGTGCTACCGCTGTGGGGCAACGAAAAGACCATGAACCTGAACCCTATGATCCTCACCAACATCCTCTCGTCGCCCTACTTTAAGGTGCAGCTCTACGAGCTCAAGACCTACCACGAAGTGGTGGACGAGATCTATTTCAAGGTGAGCCCGCGGGCCGCGCTGGCGCCGGGCCCGGTTTGGCTGCGGCCCGCGCCTTTTCGCCCCTTATCTTGCGGTGAGGGATGGGAGGAAGTATCGGTTGTGTTGCTGAGCTGGGGGAATACGAGGCTCTGCCTTCTCTGCCTCACCAAAGAGGCGTGTTCCGCGTCGGATTTGGAACTGCCGAGCTGTAAATGGGTTTTGGAAACGGCAGCGTGGGCCGGGGCGGTGGGGTGAAATGGCCGTCTGAGGGCTGCGCCTCCAGCCGATCCGTGCCGCCGGGACCGGCCCTCCCCGCGCCGCGGAGCCGCCAGCGCGCCCCGCCACCGCGCAGGAGCCACGGTGGTGACCCTCGGTGTCGGCGTGTGGCTTTCACTCTCAGTTCCATGTTAGAATTCCCTCCTCCGTAACTCAGCGTACAACTTAACGAGTTCTTTTGCTGCTTCTCTTGGCGTTAGGTAAGATGTGCTGGGGAGATGTATGGTCTGTATCAGGGCACCTATGTCTCGGTTCTTGTTTTGTTAGCAGGATTGAATCAGTTTTGCACCGAGGCTTCCATCAAGCCACTCTCCCAGGTAGAGGTATGCATAATTAATGCTAATCAACGCAGCCACTTTCTTTGTTCTGATAACGAAACCAAAATTTAGATAATTCCGTTTATCACCCGTGTTTTGGTCGTTATTGGCGTATTTTTTCAGGTGAATTCATTTTGCTTGATAATGTTATTGTGTCAGCTGGGGGTTTCAGTATATTTGAAATAAATAAAATAAAAAGCAAAGGTAGCCTTTTTGTTTCATTTATCCAAGCCAAATCAGGTTACTTAAGGCACTATAATTGTGAAAAATAATTCTGTCACAGTATTTTGAGATTTTTGGCAGTTTATGCTTTCTTTTGCTACTGTTTTTTCATGTAAAGGTAGCATTTCTCTGCCTGTGCTCTATCATTTGGAGTTGATTATTTATTTCTCCTAATACTTAGTGTAACATATATTGTCAGCAACATCTCTCCAGTTATTTTGCTACATGATGCATGTGTGAGACTCATGACTATCTGAATGAAAAGTAGCAGAGTTTACTTACACAACTGATTTTTAGAACTGAAAAAGATATGAAAAAAACATATTTTTAGAAAAATTGAGAGCTTACTGTATTTTTAAAGTGAACCCCTTCAGGTGCACTAAAAAGTAATTGTCATCTTTGTGCTGGTAGAGCTCAGCAGCAGTAGGTCAGATAGTTAATTTGCTTGACCTACTCTTTCATTCCAAAAGTGGTTTTATCTTAAGTTTGGGAAGAATTTTGACAAGCCATTAAAAAGCTGCATATTGATCTGATTTGTTTATTGAACTTGACAGTTAGTGACTCAAAACTTCATGCTAAATAAAGAGAAAACTCAGCCCCTTACTCACTCATGAGTAATGGCTGCGAGGGAGAAGATAACC